AAAAAAACTTGTCAATTGCATCAGTGCGCATTAGCAAGATTGCTAATAATTTTTACATTACGACGAATGATGAAATTATAAACATATGATAAGATTGATACACAGATATGTATATCTATGAATGAAACAAAAATTTTGCAGCGTCTGCGCAAATTTTATAAAATCTCTTTTTGATATAGTAGGGAATTATTCCAATTTCATTTTGCAGGATATATTTTTCTGATATTCTGCAACATGACATCAGACTGAATGTAAATGTAATGTTTGTTACGAGTTTAATTAATTCACATGATTGTTCGTGTTTGTTCGTTGTTTATCTGTTTTCTTTATATCTATTTTTAAATAGCATAAATCTTATTAATTTATATACATACGGACAGTCTTTAATGTATATTAATGCGCACTATTGCAATTCATTACATATAATAATAGAAATATAACTGTGATATTAGAAAATTAAACGTTTTTAAAAATAATCTATAATAATTATTATGTTTTATATAATAATTTTATATGTATAATTTTTATATAAAACTAATAAAATAACTGAATTGTTATGAAATAATTATTTATACATATACATTCTAAAATATTTAGTTTGTTTTATGACCTCGATGCATATTTCTTTTGTCATAAACTATATAAAATTATTGAAAATAATTTTTTATGTCTATGTTGAAAATAATTCTTTCTGATATTAACTTCATGATAATGAAAAGGTCTTGACAAAAATATAAATGTATATACAGGGTAGCCCACGTAAAGTGTTACAAATTTATATCTCGGAAACGAATCTTATGTCTTCCTTGAAACCATACAACTTTTGTCTGAAACATTTTTCTCTAAATTGCTTCGTTTCCGAGATATAAATTTGTAACACTTTACATGGGCCATCCTGTATATAAAGTAACGAGTTACTTTTTTTACTCGACTAACGAGTAAAGGTAACTAGTTACTTTTAAAAAGTAAATTTCCTATCCTTGATGTATATATATATATATATATATATATATATATATATATATATTTATATATATATATAAAACTGCACTAGAAATAACAATGCTAAGAGGCGTAATAAGAGACATAATAATGAGAAAGAAAAATTCGATATCTGCAACATGCAATATTATCATCGTGTGATTGTACTGCAATATAATTTCGTCTACTTCAACAATTATAGACGCTGTAAATATATTATGAAAATATATGAAGCACGAAAAGTCTTTGTACTGAAAGTTTCATGATTCACATCGATCGCGATACAGGATGAAATGGTAACGTTACATGTTACACATTAATGATGGATTCGTTATTTTGTCACGTCAAAAAATTTCATACATTTAAAGCGCGTGCTCAACATATAATCCGATAAGTAACAATTACTTATAAAACAAGGTACATTGTACTACTACGTACTTTAGTAGTGTGTAGTAAATACGAAAGAGTTAAACGGAGCTAGTTTTTGGTAAGGGTTTCAATTTGGAAATTAATTCGCGCCGCTGCTCGTGATATTCTTGGAAGCAGGGTACGATGCACAAATTAATCTGACATTCGGGACAGTGATACTTGGTCTTCCTACGAAGTATTCTGCCATGATCGTCTATCGTATTCCAGCAATGATTGCATCCTAAGGCAGGGCCCTGACGTAACACCGGACAGTGACCTAATCGTTGATCTCCCGTATTCTCACGAGACGATTCTCTGCTGCTACTGCTCGTCTAAAAGCAAATATATTAAATTATATTTATTTAATTCATATGATATACATATCAATTTTACAACTTAAAAATAATAAAGTGCACGCAGATAAAAAGAAATAAGAGGGAGTCTAATTAATCTCTATTGCAGTTTACTAATAGAACAAAAATAAATAAATTTTTCAGATATATTAACAGTTTAGTATTTTTTGACATATATATTGCATGAATATATAAGAATGATATCATATTTTTATATCCAATTCTTAAATCATACAAACACAAATTTGGTCTATCATAACGACAAAACTAAAAATTAAATTGTATATATCCAACCAGCATTAATTTGATAGTTTCTTCATAGAAATGTTTGTTTCGTTAAAATTAATCTTGAATCATAAATGAAAAAAAAGGCAATAAACATCAAAAGACAACACTGTAATTATATGTTTATATTACTTGACATATAACATATGTTATATTTATGAATATCGTTCTAATTATAACGTTTTTTTTTTATCATTATTGTTTTCTTTCTTATTCATATGATTGTTATCTTATGGATTTAGAATTATAAAATTATTTAATTTAATTTGTTTTTTTATGTTAATCTCGAATATCTACCTGCGGCGATGAAGAAGTCCGCCGCAATTCTGTCGTCTTCACCCTCAATCCGGAGGAAGTGCCGCTGGTAGTCCCCAGCTCAGAGAGAGTAGTCGGAGTCGAGGTCTCCTCACATCCCTCTTCCTCCGTCTTGATAAGGGGCGCTGGTTCGATCACTATTGAGGGACTCGTGGTTCTGCCAGATAATTCCGGATGTGAATGTTGTCGATGTATCCAGTAAGTCCCGGACGTACTCGGTTGCTGACTGGACAGCAACGGATGCGAGTGTTGTTTGGTCAAGTAGGACGGCTGGGGTACCGTCAACAAGTTGGACGACGTCGTTGTCACCGTCAGCAGATTCGGCTGATTGACCAGCATGGTGTGCGGAGGTGGTGATATACGCGATTCCTCGAAACTCCTTGACGTTTGGGGTAGGTTCAGTGTCGATGCGGCGAGATGAACGGAAGTCGATACAATGTGAGGCGAAGAACTTGCTTCGCCATCCGGTGACATGTGACTCGGTTCTTTCTTCACTCGTGGTTGTCTAATTAGCAGTCGAGTCCTCTTCGTTACTGCTTGCGTCTTGCAGTGAAGAACTATAATAATAAATGAATAGACTTTAGTAAAGAGAATCGATACACGACATTATTATCAGTTTTATTGCCATTATAATTTTATATATTTTATATATCATATTTATACAATATATTAGCAATTTTTATCAAAGAAAAATATTGAAGATCTCAGTGTTGCGAATATATATTAATTATGCATCGATATACAAAAAAATATTTATAATAAACATAATTATTTAATAATTCTAAATAAATTCTATCTATATAAATAATAAGATAAACATTGTGTGATTAGATCATAATTATTTTTTGACATATATAGATTCTTTTTTTATCTTCGATTAGTTATTTATTATTATTAATTATTTTTTGACATATATAGATTCTTTTTTTATCTTCGATTAGTTATTTATAATCCCAGAGGAATGAAAAATTTTATTAACTGATTGATGAAGAAAAGAAGGTTGTGACACATTGAAACAAATAAATGGATCCCATTCTTGTTGCAAACTGTTAGAATAATTTTTATTCTTTCAGAATTATTTTTTAATCGTTTATATAAGGGGTATATAAATGCTTCTTAACAGTGCAATTAACGACTATTTTACTAGAGACTAATTTCTAATTTTAAACCACTCAAGTGTATATTTTTCAATCGTCTTTTAGAACGCTTCTATCTTCATTCCATTGTGACGAAAAATATTGAGTTTACAGAAACGCAAAAGTAAAAAGTACGATTAAAATATTTTTTCGATTATTTTAAGCTTTCGCATTTTTTTGTATTCAATACATGCATTACCCTTCACTGTTTCGCGATTAATTTAGTTATTAGTAAATATACACAACAAATAATACGAATAAATAAAACAAAAAATAATTTCTGCAAACAAAATTAGAAATATTAGTTTGCATATAGTTCATATCTGTATGTATATGTATATATGTACATATATATGTACGTATATACATATACATACATACATATGCATATATTTCAGTTTTTTATATCCTATTTTTATTTTACATAATTAATGTTAAAAAATGTTTTCTCATATATCTATCACATATATTTTACTAGAGAACTAAACTAATAAATCATTATTATAATTAAACATAACAGAAATACAAATGTCAAAGTGAAATGATATAAATGTATATATATTAGTCAATTACACTATCCTTTCTAAATATTTCACATTATTTCACATTAAATTTACATTTTGAAACAATAGAAACTATTTTCATAAAGCTTGAATTAATTTAATATATGCAATAATAATATATCAAGTAACATTTGCTTACATTATTATTCAACTTACGTTTTCATTAATATGATTTTTCGGTTTCATGAACAAAAGCATATAAGTAAAAATGTGTAGATATGTAAACATAATAGAAAAAAATAAAGTAATATAATGTAGCGAAATAATATATATTATAATATGTAACAAATATTATATAAATATATATATATATATATATTTTTTTTAATTTCTTATATATGCATATATATATATATATATATATATATATATATATATATATCATAAAAGTATAAAAAGTTAAACAAAAGTGTATATATATATATATATATATATATATATATATATATAAAAGGAAAATATATCCTTCCTAAAAAGAGAGTATATGACAATTCTCTCTCATGTATTTATCAACATAGTAACAATTAATTGTAATACATGTATTGATAGATTATCTCCGTGTGTGCATAATGTTAGTCTCGTACAATGTACTAACACACGTGTGCAAATACAGATATAACACAATTTCTAATCGTATGCTTTGTACAATCTCATACAATCAGTATAGTTTCACTATTAGTTGCAGCAACATTTTATTCGGAGCATTGAACGATTGCCTCAATTCCAGATGAAATTTTCATTGATAATTTTAACATATGATGAACGAAAAATTAGAAATCGTTGATCTGCCGTAAATATGAGAAATAATTGGTAAGTGCGAACGTGTTCGTCGCTTATAAATCCGGTCATTTATCACATTGCAGACGTCTTAGTTCGAAAAACATAAGAATAGAAATATATATATATATAATTAAGACAAATATATATTTTACAAAAAAAAGAAAAATTTAATTTAAATAATTTAATATTATATAAACAATATTGATTTTCTGGATATATCCAAGGTCGCGCAGTTTCTTCTTAAATTACAAACGATTCGCACTTGAATCGGATTCTCCTCTAGCAAAGATTTAATTGGGGAAAAGAAAAAGACAAAATATATATATATATAGGAAAAGTATATGAAATTATAATATAATATTTAAGTAAGTATTCAATTCATTTAATGTTATGAGATGTGAGAAAAATCACGGGACTAGTAATAATTCATAAAATTTTCGATAAGGAAAGAAATAAAGTTCAAATATTTAAAATCGCTTACAACTAGGAAAAAGCACGGAGCACATCTGTGATAAGTCCTATACAATATAAAATATATAGCGACTTATATGTCAACTTTGAGATCTGCATATATCAACTTTGAGATCCGAATACTCAAAAATTTATGGATACGAAAAAAAAAATGTATTATAAATATTAAATTTTGAATATTAAAAAGCATTCGGACTTTCTCTTTTTTTCGGTGACTTTCCAACACCTCGTGAAACTTCCGTCAACACAAGAAACTTGATAAATAGGTTCAATTGTTTACAGGGAGCAGGATAAAAGAGAGAAAAGGGAAGCAAAGAAGGAAGGAAAGTAACACTTTTCTCAAGGTCGTCTATACAAGTGACTTTCCGGGTAGGATTCGTTTCACATGGCGTTATAGTTGACGCCATGCAGATTGATCGGCATCGTGGTACTCGGTAGCGCATAGTCCGTATGCCTGTCGATATAACCGCTCAGCATCGTATGGGGACTGTGGCTGGTTAGCATAGTGTGCGTGCTATGTGTGTTGTGCGTGCTGTGCGGAGTCGTGGGCGGGCCCATAGGCGTCGGGCTTTGCGACGAGTTCATGGGTTGCGCCGGAGGCGGCTGCGACGGCGGTGGTGGCGGCGGCGAGGAGTTGACTTCCTGCTTAACGCGAGACTTGAGGCTGGGCCGATTGTTCGGATAGCCGCGCTTCTTATACTCGAGCCAAAGCGTTCGATTGTTCACGCCGAACATCCTCGCCGCCTTACAAAACCCTATGCCACCGTAACGTACGGCGTCAAGCGCACGTATAAAGTTCTCATCCGCTTGCGGATTAGTCGATCGTTTCCTCTTAATCGCAGTCTGCGGGCTGGCGCACGGACTCTGGCAGTTACTCGGGCACTGCGCCGATGGCGAAGGGCCGCCCGACGACGATGCGTGCTGCAACGTCCCGTGGGAAGAGTTTGGATAGTTCGTCAGAGCGCAACTGGAACCAGTCGTGCTGGTACCAGAGTACTGATCGCTGATGGTCGAGGACGTTGTTATTTCGGGCGTCGTGAACGCCGACGACGCTTGGATCGACAGATTCGTTTGACACGAGGACAGAGCGAAACGTGTCGGATGATATGTGTGCTCCATAATAGTCCATTGTAATCCTGTAGAACAGACCGATTGATCTTTGGTCAGAGCACAGGAATTATCAATCCGCTGATACTTTGAGTGTTTACGATTAAGATAAATGGTAAAGAATGAGAGTAATATGATTACACAATATTACGAACTATTACGATTATAAACAGTGAGCGAAAAAATGTTCGATTCTGATCTATACTTGAATTTTCTTTGGCATGAGAGTTTAAAAAAAAAACATTTGATTAAATCTTACTCCATTTTGAATAATTTTCATGTATATTCTCATTTTTTTTAATTTACTTCACCTGTATATTACGTAAAAATCAATTAAAGATGCATTTTTACATAATTATATTATGCCATTAATAATTTAAACTATAAAAGAAGAATATATATATATATATAATATATCATAATATATATCAGCGTATCTCTGTTCATATAAAACAAGGCATACAAATATAATTATAATCTAATAAAAAAAAAAAAATTTTATTCTATGATATATAGAAAAACAATACTAAGCTCTAAGTAAGCGAAAGATGATAGATATTAAAAATAAAATCTTGTGAAGAAACGATATATATGAGCGTATTAAATATGAAATTGCGGCATGGCACAGATACATTTTTAAGCACATCATTATTCGAAATATTGAAATACATTTACGGAATTTGTTACATTTAGGGCAGAATAGTGGCACACATACACACTCCGTTAATGTTAAAGGCCCGGCATATTATCCTTCTCCGGAAATATAACTTATTGTGTGCTATGTATCTGTGTACCATGATGATCTTCTTTCATGAATGAGAGAGAAACAATCTTTTTCTTTTTGCACATTCGCATTATTATTATTATAAAGTTTCAATTCCTGAAATTTCGCTCTATTTTCATGTCAAACGTCTGTTGATTCTCCTTGTGCAATACATTTAAACGCATCTGTGCCAGCATAATATAATGTGTGTAAACTTCGCTTATTGACATGCAATTTAAATACCCACCACAGTCAATATACATAATTAAAATAACAATTATCGGAGGGTTGATGTTTGCCGAAAGGGGAGGTGTCATGCAATTTGTCGAAGTTGTCGAATCGCGATTATATTTACAATGCAATCTAATAAAAAATATTATTAAATCTACAATATAGCTACCTGCTCACGCATGACATATTCCATCAAATTAAAAATTATCTTTAAACTTTTTCATGTTTCTATATACAAGGTCATCTACTATAGTTTACAAACACTATATCAATCAACTTGTTAATTTATCTGATTTATCTTACATTATTATCAAAATAAATATTTCTAAATATTTGTTAAATAATCAAGTTTGAGAGACACAATATTTTATATATTTCCATGCAGTTTTTCTTTTTAATTCAAATTAAGGAAAAAATATATAATTTAAAAATTATTATGTATCTCTGAGAAAATGATAAAAAAGAAAGAGACTAAGAGCACTTTTTCATTTTCTCATTATAATTTCAAATATATATAAAAATATTTATATAAAAAAATGTATATTAAAATATAAACAAATATACATAATATTAAACATTAAATTATACAAAAATGATTGTACTTTTATCTCATATTAGTTCTCTTCTATATACTTTTATTTTTACATACTATATTATTTTTATATATTTATTAGAAAAATATATTTTTCTAAAATCATTTTATCATTAATAAAATAAATAGCACATTCTAAATATATGCAAATTAAATTATAATTTTATTGTGAAAATAAGAAAATACAAGAAAGCATATATATATATATATATATATATATATATATATATATACATATATATATATATTAAAAAGAGAAACATATCAAAATAATATCTATGCAAGAGAATTGAATAATTTCAATTCACAATCATATTCAAAATTATTCATGCAGCATATATAAAAAAGAAAAGTGGTAAGAATATATATATATATATATATATATATATATATATATATATATATATTTGAATTTTTGAGAGCTCTATATATTAATTTTATATATATATATGCGTATATATATATTCTGTGTATATCTCTCTTTTTTATTTCTCTTTGTGCATAGATAATAACGTTTTATAATAGATATTTGAGTGATTGAATATTTGTGGAGATTTCTACTTAAAATAGGATACAATATCTTACCTTGACTATGAGTATGAGAGGGTGGTTGCGAAGACACAGAACTTTGTCCAATGTTTCCTCCTGTCGATTGTTGACTTACATCTTGAATAGAACCATCACTCTGGGCTGGTGTATTGGTAGAACTAGTTTCCATATTACTCATCTAAAATGTAAGAACATCGCATGTTATCCTAAATTAATAATTTATTTGTTTGAAAATTATAAGAATTTTATAACAAAATTAAATGTATGTGTTTTATATCATTTAGTGTTAAATATTATTAAATATATTTATATATTGACTTACAATTGATATTTGATCTTCATCAATACTGCCTTGAGATTCTGTGCTGGTATTTATTGGTCGCCTTAAATTCTCTCCACTTTCTTGCGATGCAATTACGGGTTCAGGTTTTACAATATTAGTAGCCACTAGTGTTATTTCATTGATTTCTTCCGGTCGATCGCCAGAACCAGACGTTGAGCCTGTAGAAGACTTTCGTAATCTTTTTCTACGAAAAGAAGGAGATAATGGAGATGGACTAGGTGAGCAGGATTCGCCACGATCTCCTCCACCTGTTTCGCTGCTTCCACTTGGCCATTTAGTCAACGATGCTGTATGCATTTCTGCAAGTCCTTTTATTTTTAAGCTTTCTGCCGTCTGTTAAATAAATGGTATTGTTTATCAAGTATTTTCTACACAAGTATAAGCAGATTGTCTAATTATTAAAGTATTTTTTTTACCTTTATAATAGATGGCAATTGATCTTGGGATATGTTTACTTCTCCATAGTACATAAAGTCTACCATAATCTTGAGGTCCGAAAACTTGATGTCCTTGAGTATAACAATAGGGTGCTGACAAGGATTCACTGTAAACAGTGATTGAAAGTACGTACTGCATGCTGACAGTACAACTTTGTGAGCTTGAATTTGTCTGCCTTCTGCAGCAAGAGTAACATCCACTAGAGTCTCATTATTTAATAAGTTGGAAAAAACCGAGATGAAATTCGGCTGGTGATTGTTCCACCGCAAACAATACTGTTGCATAGACATCATGACAAGGCAATAAGAAACTATTCGTAAACTTCAACTGTAACATAAATGAAAAATATGGTTAATGTCATAGTTTTATGATTTAAATCCTCTAATAAAACGTTTAATATTTATAGATATTGCAAAGTGATAATAAAATGATTGTCATGAATAAACTCAAATGTTTTACATAGAAAAATTCTCTCTAAATTTCATTAAACATGTATTATCTCGTACTAGATACATATATATTAAACTCTTTAAATAAAATAAATTTAAGAATCGTAAAATAAAAATTGCAAATTGGCTTATTACGCGAATAAGGAAAAATTTCACGCGATTATCCAAGCAACAATTTTTTTTAATGACGCAACTACGAATAGGGAAAAATCTAAGCTAAGACACAGTCGATATAAAAATAAATGCCCCTTAAATATATGACCTATTCATTTCCTGTTGCAAAAGCGACGCAGACAGGTGCGAAATGTCACATAAGACGACATGTCGCGACGTCGAGGAGTGTGCATGTATATGCATCGCAAGCTTCGTCGACGCCGTCGACGTCGTCCAACACTCGAGGCATTACCGTTAAACAACGCGGTCAAAAAATCCCACATCATAGTCTCTTCGCGCGGATTTAGCTTACGATACGATGACGTGAGTCAACAGTGATGTTGATAATTGTGACGACGATATGCTAAGAGGAAAAAAAAAGAGAAAGCCAGAGAAAGAGAGGGAGAGAGGCAGAGGAAGAAAGAAGAGAATCGGCGATGCGCTTACTTCGATCTCATGAAGTCTCCTCGTCGCTCAATCGACACTCGAGAGACTCGCCGGTTGTTCCCTTCAAGGAGCAACGCACCTCGCCACCATAGATCCCGCGACAAAATTTTCCACAACAGACTGAGCGATGACGCTTGTGTAATTCGCGAGTGACGTCATGGGCGAGGGAGGGTTTACGCGACGACGACGACGACGACAACGCTGTCGCTGCCGCTAACGCGGGGAGCCCCGCGGCCACCGAAATTCACGCGTCACGCGAGCCGAGCTCACTTGCCGCGCGCGACAAATGTCACACGCACACACGTCGCGCGGAGGTTGGTAGGTATTGCGTGCGCGATCGAAAAATACGCGAGATCTTATCAACGCGCGCGTCTCTCCTCGCAAAATCCTAACTTGATCAATAGCGGCCGATTAGCGCTGCCATCTGGCGAGCGATCCGCGCGAACGCGGAACGCTCACGGTTTTTCGAAGCTGGAAAAAAGAGCCGACGCACACACATATGTACACGCATAAATAGCCGTTTCCTCAATTATATCTCGGGACGATGTTTCACGCGCCTTGAAATTCGTTTGCTAGTATACGTAAATAAATATGCCGCGGAAACGTTGTTCTATAACCAAGTCGACATTAATGAATATTATTGGAATGAAAGTCCGCTACAAACATTTAAAAAAATTTTTTTAAATTTTTTAAAAATTTCAGATCCCTACAAAGATTGAAAAAAAATTTTAAATATTATAAGAAATATTCTAAGTGTTGAAGTGTTCCTATATAAATAAAATGTAGAGTGCTATTGCTGGTGAGACGCTTAAAGAAATCTGATTTGAATTGATATAAAATATTCAGAACTAGAAAGTACATTTCGCTGTCATAAAAAAATTTATTCTTACCTATATATGGGATATTCTTATAGAATATTTTATGTATGCTTAAAAAAACAAAAAACTACTCTTCTATTTATATCTTATTTAAAATTCAATATTCAAATGTTATCGAAACTCCATGAAGAAAGAGTGAAATTGAATGAGAAGTAGAAAACGAAGTACAGAAAAGGAAATGGAGAAAGTGCAGGGAGAAGGCAGGGAGAAGGTCGATAAGTGTCGATCGCGCGTTGACCGACTGTCAGTGCGGCGCGTCATTGCCGCGAGCGTCGGACAGATGTCGCCTCGCTCGGCGAACCGCCCTAACCTCGGTGCCGCTCGTTGCACTCGTTTCGCTCTGCGCCGCGTCGCGCGATGCCAGGCGTATCCTAACGAGTTTCGAGTTCGACGACGGACGACGATGTACGCCCGCGAGCTTCCTCCTGCACCGCGCCGTTAGTCGAGCAATCGCCGAGGCAGGGAAGGTGCGTATCGACGGGACGAATCGACCGAGTCGCTCGCTCGACGAGAGGAGTGCGTCTCTTCTCTCTCTCTCTCTCTCTCTCTACGACGTGCACATTGTACACATTTTCTCGCGAAATCCCAACGCCGTTCTACTCTCACGCCGATCGCCCTTCTCATCGGCCAGGAGGAGAAACCGGAGAAGCGAACATCCGAGTCGGGCGCCGAAGAGGAGGCGCGTAACGATCGCTCCTCTCCCGTCGAGCACGCGTCGCGATCATCGTGATTCCGCAGCCGGAGAAATCTACATTTCGCGATAATCCACCCGTTCTACTCGCGCGTGCAGTGTCATTTACCGGGATTGCCCGTCCCTCATCGCGCCGGCGTAATTAACGTACAGCTGTGTCGGAAGTGGTGATACGTAGCCTCTGAAGCGATGACCTGGACCGCCGGGACAGTTCATTTCTAGAGGAAGAGCGATCCTGCGAGGAGACTCCTCCGCATCCTCGAGGAGTCCTCGGCGCGCGACTTCTCCATCAAGAAAGTATCAAGAAAATACACGGGAAACGTGAGTGGTCATCGTTCTTATTATCTTCGAGGAAAGAGTTCGTGGAAAAGCGGCTCCTTGCCACGTTTAGCGTCTCGGCGCGCGAACGAGGGGGCCGCTCTTCCGTCTTACGTATCGCTCTCCCCGTCATCCGTCGTTCCGCTCGCGCGAGCGCGTATCCGTGTGCGTTCGGATTTGCCGCTAGATCGTTAGTGGGTAATCGCAAACGCGGTAATTTTCGCGCCACGCATAAGCATTAATCGCGGGGAGCGGAACTTCGGAGTTTCTTCCTCTTCTCCGATTGATACCTTGCCTCGCGTAACTCGAAAGATGCGGCGACCGAGCAAGCATGCGGCCTCGTGGCTTAACGGTCCCCCCAAGTATGTATGTGTGTACGTGTGTGGGTGCCGCGTGCGAGCATGTGTGTTAAACGCGCCGCGCGTTACCAAGATTACGCGCGAGGCGAGCATCGCTCATCTCGAGGGACAGATTCCGAGGGTCTAAACAATTCGACATCTTCTCTGACATTTTTTCCCTTTCGAAAAGAAGTTATACATTTACGTGATACGTGAATTTCGCGCATTTCAATTCTCTCATATTGCACGCCCCGCGAAAAGCACGCTGGAAAAAGGATAAGGTGAAATAAAGGGGACGAGGAGAAATGTTGCGCGTACAAGCTGCACTTCAAAGATTAAAAATTCAATTCTCGAGATTTAATGTATGTAAGTGTGTATAAATCCCGCGTTTTCTTTGAGCAGACTTTTTCCGACGAGCAACCTTGTGAAAATTTACGCCAAAAGGAACAGAGAAGAGCGAGAAAAAGCTGCAAAGTCTACTCTAAAAATTTACAAGAAATTCAATTGTAAAGATGTAATACACTATATTACACATACACATATAAAAAATGTGTAATACACTATATTACACATACACATATAAAAAATTTTCCGCACTGATATATTAGAAAAAAAAAACACATTAAAATTTTATCTTCTTTTTCATCTCTTCGTATATTCTAAAAAAAATGAGGCTTATAATTTCAAGTAGAAGTAGAAAAGGAAATTCACTTGGATATATATTAGTGCTTATTATGAAAATTATGTGTTTCATCCTATGAGAACTTCCAATACTGGATATTCCGTTGGAAAAATTATGATGCGCGGAGATCTGGAAAAGAAAAAGAACAAATACTTGAAATATTTTCAAGTATTTGTTCTTTTTTGTTACTCACTCACCGACAGAATTAATTAATACCAATATAATTAATATCTACATCTAAAACTTACGCGTGTATTTTCATCGAATATTTATGCGTTCGCAGACTAAAAATTATTAATTTATATCTTAAGAATTATCTGTGACGAATGGAGAGAACAGATATGTGCGTAGATTGTTGTTTACGTATCCGACACACTGTACATTATTTTATTCCCGCTCTACATTCGTTGCTAAACGTCGCCGTCCAGTTCCACGTTTCATTCATCTAACACGGTTGATCTAAGAAGAGCCTTCGGGCTACCGCTTAGAACTACCTTACTAACTTATACCACTTAGAACCATGCGACTTCAGCAGTTCTGCAGATTAAGTCGACCTCAATCTATCTTCCGAGCCTTTTGTCTCCGTCTAAGCAGAAAAGTTTTGCAAATAATACTTCCTTTCTTCCATCCATGCCAAGCGCGAAATCTTATTCCAATTTCTCAATTTCGCCCTGATATATCTGCGGAAAGTTTCGCTCGAGTGTTCGCGACGATGATTCATAAACGATAAAAATCGGAGGTCAATATTGAGATAAATCAGTTTAGGTATATTTGTGAGATACGTCAAGTCAAGATCGATCTATATCGAAACCAGGTCAGTTAGACTCTTCATCCCACGCTGTATCATGAACTAAAAATCAAGTGAGCAAAATAGAAGACGCGACTGGATGAACAATTTATTGAAAACGATGGAATGTGAAAACGATGTTCGTTTTGCTTTGTGATTTTTTTTAGCGCAGAATCGCAAAACGAAAATTCCTTTTACCTTTACAATTTTTACTTTTCAAATGTAGATCATTGAATCTACTTACAAAGTATCTTTTTACATTTCAAAAATTTCTTAAAAATAGATCCGATTTTATACCTCGCGGTGTCAAGAAAATTAAGATTGATTCTTGCGTGAATCGAGTCGAACGATAATAATAATCCTTTTTGCATATCAGTAGATTTGAATAATGCTAATTGTGGACGGAAAATATACAATGACGTAACTGACGTGAAAATTTTTCATATCTTTACCTATCGTGCCGCTCGTGCTTTCTTCGTAATATGCAAATGAACGCCATTGTACTTACTCCCGGCACTAATAATTCCCTTTCATTCCTATTTCCAGTCTACGATTGAATAATTTGATATAATAGCAGAGACGGGCTCTTATTTTTTAAGAATCCGCCGGAGAGAAGAATATCACCGAGAGAAAAGAGAATTCCAAACTTGATCCTCCCTTCGGAAAAAGTTCGGAAAGTATCGTGAGTTAAAGCTACGCCGGGGCGTATTAATTGAATGCTTCTCGATTCTCGGGTGAAAGCGGGATTTCGGCGTCCATTGTTCGTTTGGCGTAAAATCGGAGGCTCCGCTCGGGCATACAAATGTACAATTCGATCTCGACATTCCCGCACGTATTTGCGCTCCCCTCTGCCCCCCCCCCCCTCGATTCTCCCTTCGCACGAAAAACCAAAGGAGGCTCTCTCGGAGCGAGACGCGCGGATGCCCATCCTCGCCCTCGTCGTCTTCGTCGGTGCAAGTCGAGTGCCGTTTAGCGGAATGCGGCGCACCTGTCCGTCCGTTATCCGTCTCGTGTAAAGGCTGCATCGGGAAGCCGCCACCGATCGGTCTCTCGAAGAAACTCGAGCCTCAAGGCCGCGCCGTTTTGCAACGCGAGCGATCCGTCACGGACCCCGCGGATGCTCGCCAGGATACCAGGAGGAAGATTGCGATAACGATGCCTTCTGGGGACCACGTTCTCACGTTTGGAGTTTGGAAAGCGTGGGGAGATATTCGAGAGATTATTATTGCGCGCGCTTCCACGATCGTGGAATCGGTCCACCTGTGTTAACGCGGGTCGAATATCGTCGTTAAGAATCAAGACGGATGTCCTCGACACGTTTCTTTGTGATCCATTGTGTCTGTTTTCGTGGAGATTTATTATCGTGGTACGCGTTCGAGTAAGAATTGTTCAATTGTTCAATCGGATCGGGTCAGATTCCCTCGAACATATCGATCGTTCATTATTAGCTTCATCCGGCTTAAATCGACCGTAGAGATAACAAAGATATATATTATACTTTGACAGCTAATTAATTGTACTCAACTTGTGCGCAACGTGTTCTTGCCTTTTGATTAATTCCACGTGTGTTTTAACTCGGGCTAATTAACTCCGATCGGAGAGCGAGTTAAGATTTTAATAAAATTCTTGACAGAAAATAATTGTTTCTTTTTTTCTCTTACTTTTATTTTATTTATTCTATTTGCACCCGGCGTCGTCGTGAAATGTTATTAGCGAAATCACGCGTTTGCTACATCACACGCTGCAATTTCTCGACAGATGGTATTCTTGATGGATGATACTACGTGATCTTCGGTGCTCGCCGATTTACGTCACCGTTTCTCTCTCACGCGGGAGATAGAAACTTAACGATACTTAATTAGCGGCGCGCTTCGGTAGTGATTCATGAAACGAGTGAAAGGTTCTCGCTGGAACGAGCCGATTAGCTAAGATAAACCCGACACTTGAACGAAGCCAACCGCAATGATACGCAAGGACGCTGCTTATAAAACTTTTCTGTGACCTTTTGCGACATTTGCTATCCCGATCGTGAAACGCAAAGATCCTTGATGTACACACTTGTGTATATTTATACAATCTAATTTTATACGAAGTCGAAATTTAACAAACTTTACCGATCAACTTTATCGAGGATGAAATTTTAAAAGAGTATCAAGTATAAATAGGCTCGGATATAAATAGAAGTCGCGCCAATCTTTATGGACGTTTCAACGATCGCGTATATGACAGTTATTGTCTCGCTCGAGAATGATAAGCGCCACAAACGAGCCGCGTAACAAGAAACCTCGAGGAAAATCAGGTTACGAAAATGAGTACATCGTAAAAAAAACATTATCAAAAAATTGCAAATATTCCATTACATCGTATTTCCTTACGCGATACGTGCGCGGTTGCTCCAAATTATCGCATTTTTCGAAAGAGAGGGAAAATAAAATCGTCGAAAATTTAATTGAAGGAATTTAATTGGCAATATTTTATTCTGGAGCGCGCATAAATAATAAAATCACGATATATACCTTATCTGGAGAGTCTCCTCTTATCTTTAAATATGCTATAAGATATCGAAATATATAAAGCACGCTATTGTTATTGCGCATTTATATCCGGTGTCGGGATCAAAAAGTTCGCACATACATACCACAATCGCGTTATTAATTAATTAATTATAAATTGCCCCGTGATTTGTTAAAGATAAGCAATTACGTGCGTAAAAGGAAAATTAACATTTACGGGATGTGTCAAATGAGCACGTGTGCGTGCGTGAATTCTCGCTGTTAATCCGTTCTCTATTACCCGGAAAACTTTATGCCGGTTTGTGACCTGTATAAAACGGCGCGTAATAACGGTATCCGTGCGATACCACGATCTTCATTGTATATCACCCGTTGCGTATTGTCCGCGCCGGAATAATTCTAAACTTGGGAGAGCGCATTGTGTATTCTCCCTCCAAATTCGAGCTTGCATATACTTAACCTAGTCCGATTACATATGCAAACAGACATACATATTACAGTAATCTCTTAATTAACGTATTATGTCACTTTGTGATAAAATTAGCGATATGCGAGAACCCGCGCTTTCTAGAAAATATGATTTAAAAATGATAAGATTAGACTGGTCGTGTTATATCTCGTCGAGTATGCTAAAGAATTATTTTTGATATTGAAAAAAGGATCCTAGCTGTTAATTTAGAAAA